TGTACTTCCTGATTTAATGCTAATTCATAAAGTACGTTACTAATAGTGGTTGATGAAGTTTCAAAACCAGCAAGGAAAAATACGAATGCTTGAGAAGCTATTAAACTATCCGTCGGATCTAAAATATTATTTTCTCCTTATTATAAATAAATAATTTCATTTTCTAACAGATTAATTTATTATTTAAAAATTTATATACGGGGTGTATTTTAAAAAGCGGCCACTAATCATATAGAGCTCTTCTATTATAACACTAGACTGTTAACTCCCCACTTTTCCTTATGTAAAAGTGTGCGCAAGTGTAAAATAATTATCAAATTTAAATCTCGTATAGTCTTCATGTTACAAAAAATAAAATATTCTATAACACATAAGAAAAATAAATAATGGCAGATACAATAAATACATACCAATACCGTCCAATTTATCTGGATGTTTCTTTAATTCGCGCAATATATCAATAAAGTCGTTCCTAATGATATTATTCGTTTCCCTATAATCCATGTTTTCCACGATGACACGTATGAAGAATTTGGTAATTTTTGTTTGCGGCAGAAAATAACCAAATAACATATTGTAAAACCATGGAAAAATTTGTCTGACTCTAATTCGCAATATTTCTATCCAGGATGGATTGAATACTTCCCTTCCCATCTTACGAAATTCACTGTCCTCGTCCGACAATGCGTTCATTTCAATGCCGAAGACACAATTACCGATAACGTCTGTTGTATATTTGGCTGTTAGCACTCGGCATTCTACTGGCTTGCCTGTATTCGTTACTTTGTCCATATATTGTATAAGATGGTCGGCACACTCTGACATTAAGGCAAACATTTCCTTCAATTTACCAGATGTAAATGCAGGCGACAATTTCATCCTCAACGGTCGCCATCTCTTCGACTCCAAAAAGAAAAGATGTTGCGACAGCGGATCTGCCTGCGATATGACAAATAATATAAAAAATAAAATTGTAAGAAAGTAAATTTAATTCAAAATCAAATTTTATTGAGTCAAAGAAATTTTCTTGAAACTTCTCGAAGCAAGTCTCACGATTCTTAATAAATCACTTTATTTAATAAATTATATATACAGTGCCGGCCAAAAGTTCCGAGTCGACTGAATATCTCGGTAGTATAAAGTATGCATTTTTGAGAAAAATGTTTTAGACAAAAATTGTAGATGTAAAAAGATCTATTCAATGATCTTATCAGTTTGACCTTGGGTGGCGTCGCCAATGTCAAGTCAAGGTCACATCGATTTTTTTAAATGGAATACCATATTCATTTTGGCGACCCAAGGTCTGATAAGATCATTGAATAGATCTTTTTAAACCCTACAATTTTTGTCTAAACATTTTTCTCAAAAATGCATACTTTCCGAGATATTTAGCCGGCCCGACTTTTGGCGGGCACTGTATAAAAGTATACGCATGTGTAGACTTAAAAAAGATGCTCGGATTTAAAAAAAAAGTCATACATATCTTGTTCTTGCTTCATAAACTTATACTACTATAATAACTTTTTAAGTATTCTTACTTTTTCCAAAATGGGAAATCCTCTGTCGGCGAACTTAGTAAAATCTTTGATGAGAATATCCTTAATTATATCTAGATCTTTTACAATAAGAATAGGTGTCTTCCTAGCGAATATTCCAATTAATGGTTCATTTTCGTAGGCATTGTATATTTCTGTTAAATAATCACCCACAGATATCTTATTTAACATAACGTCTTTAAAATTGCCAAGTGCCGGTATCGGTCGTGGACCAGGAACGCCACGTGACTTCCAAAAGTCGAAAGTTGACGTGAAAAAATAATAAAGAACGAGAACTACGGCAGTAATGCCGCATAGTATTTCGAAGGGTTCCATTGTCTAACAACTTTCAATTGATTATCACACACATAAATTTACTGAAAAAGAAGAGGAAACAGTGTCCGCTATATAAACCTCCGTATTATAAAGATAAAATTCAAACAAAATCTATTAATTAACATTTTATTTGATATATGAAAAAAAGTAATTTCTGCTCCTGCATTCGTGCACGTTCCGACATGCGAGAACCAGCATGTAACGAATGATTCAATGCCGGTCTATAGAATTTTACCATGCAGCCGTATACACATATCTATTATAGTTTAAGAAATATTAACGATGTTACTATTGTCTCCTTGTTACTTTTGTCTCCAGTCTCCCCTACATTCACAATAAAGTGAGTGTAAAGTGGGGATAGGAAAGGCATAACGCGCACGCGGGGACACAAACCATCAACGTTGTGATAAGCTTTAATGATGATTTATCTACACATACAATGTAGAAACGAATAATTGAATGCTCACACATGTATTAATAGATACATGCCCGGTATAATTTAATCTGTCCAAGGATTGAGTCTCGTTGAATACATATTATTACGTGTTTGAACGCCTATCTCATTACGTATGACGTAACATATATGTGAATGAAACAGGTAATGTGAATGATGCAATCGTGCAATAAATATTGTTTTATTTATTATGCAACGAGAAGAAAAATTGCGCCTGAAAATTGCGAGATTGATTCCTGTTCTTTCGTTCAAAACACGATTCTGGTGAACGTTTCTTCGTCGGATGGTGAATGGACGTATGATAAAACGGGTTTTTTCGTATACGTATGAAAATGAAATTACAGAATTTGCTTCTTTTTCTTTCTGAAATTATCGTTTTGATATTGAAACAAGTAATAAACGTGATATTCAAATGTACAGTGTGTGATTTTAAATTAAAATTACAGCCGCTCGATATTGCCATATAAAAATTTGTATTGTCTTATAAATATATATATTTGTAGTATTAGCCTTCGTATCGTTATAAATAATACTAATTGTCGTTTGCGATAATATCTAATTGCCGCCGTTTATATCGTACCAAATTATCGACAAAGAGAACACAAGCCCAAGTATGAAATTGTATAAAAAGTATTCTTTCTAAAAAAAAAATGGAACAAAATGCATGAATTAATTTGAAAAAAAAAAACAAACTTTAATAGGCAATTTCTTTGTTTGATGATGATGACTGAATGTGTAATTATCCGGTTTCTTCCCAGTGAGAAATGACATTGGAATTGGTCGATTTGACGTCGATTCGATGATTTCGACGTCGAATCGACATCGATTCGACGTCGATTCCATTGTCATTTCTCACTGAGTTACATACATAGTCAAGAAGATAAAATTACAAAATTCGTACCTTTTTTTTAAATTGTCGATTCAACATAATGTTACAAACAACAGACGTACCTGATTGTGGATAACAGTACAATTATAACAGTACTTAATTGTATCCGTGATACTGCCGCGTATCAACTGGTATCAGCTCTTAGGTGAACTCGTACTTGCTTGTAACGGTGCAACTAAAGATAACACTGACTACCGCCGTCCAGATCGTGTGAGATCATGTATTATATAGACTGACACTCCAGGCTCCAACACGAGAAAACGCGGACACATCATGAGTCACGATGAATTGCGGAAACGGTATCTTCAAGATTCTCCTTTCTCCGTACCAAACTACAATTAAATGTAGTGACTATGCAAATAGCAATAATCAGAAAAAATCTTGATCAATAAGATAAGATCTCATACGCTTCATGTATACATATTAACATGCGTATACGAATTTAGGTGCTAAGTGAGTTTCTGGTCACCTAAACTTATTAATTGTTCGATCGCAAGATGCTTTGCGCATTAAGTTAAATATACGTACCTTAAAACAACAAAAGAAAAATCAATCTTGCAAAATAATAAACAAATATATTAATATAAAAAGCTAAATTAAACGAGGAAAATAACGAAGACAAATAACATTTATATGTTAAATTAAACACCAAATCAAATTTAATCATCAAATAAAAATTAGCAATAAGAATAAAATTATAATGTTGTCATAATAAAAGCAAACATTACTTTATTTTAATGTACGGGAAATCACTTTTGTAATTTTCGCCTCGTTTCAAGATACAGAATTGATCCCCTAGTGTCTCTAAGCGAAATCTGACGAAAATGCATAGAGATCAGTCGTAGCAACATCATTTATTTCTTCGCAATTGGCAGGCCTAGGACTCTGAACGGTACCTCGACTCGCGAAAGGGGCGTGGTTTGCCCAAACTGCACGCACCATAAGTCTGTTCTTTTTGACTGAACTTTTGCACCAGTTCATCTTCTCTCCAGGAGGAAAGAAGAGGAAGAAAGTGAACTGATGCAAAAGTTCAACCAAAAAGAACAGGCCTCATAGGTTTGTTCGCGTCGTATACTCCAACATGTTCCAACGTGCTCCTACCATAGCTCCTACTCACTCCAACGCGCTTGATAGAGTGAGTAGGAGCTATGATAGGAGCATGTTGGAGCATGTTGGATCTTGCGACGCGAACAAACCTCATGTTAATCCCTTCCACCATGCTCTGGATGCTCCCAGATTATGTGGGGTTAAGTTTCTAAACGTAGTTCTCCGCAGGAGAGGTGAACGTAAAGAAAGTTGTTCGATACTTTGGATTCAATTATTTTCGAGTGACATGATCAACGTTCTTTGTCTGTCTAAATTTGATAAAAATCGAATGTGATAGAAAGGACGGTAAAGCGTTTTAGCTGCTATTATGAAATTTGTAAAAAATGACTTGATAACGAGGTAATGCAGTAACGAAAAATTCATATATCTTACAATATATTGAATATTAACAGATATTAATACGATCTACGAACGTAATTTTCCTAATTGACTTGTAAATTTCTATCTCAACTGCGCTATATAATGCTATCTTACAAGAATGTTCTTACAGTGAGACATATTGTTACATACGAAAAATATATAAAACTACAAAAAACATAGCTGGAAAATATAGTTTTAATTTAAATACAAAACTTTTCAACTTTCGATTTGCATGTTTATTATGAAAATAGTAATACATAAGTGTGCAAATTAAAATTTGAAATATTTTTGTATTAAAATTTTTATTTTAGATTAGACGTTCCTGACTAATAAAAAGAGATAGATTTTTGAAGAGTTCTTAAAAAAGTGCAACTTGAAAAGAACAAATATTGATCGTACGAACGACAAACATTACTGTAAAAAATCAAATTAGTGCGATAGACAGTGTGGACAGTAGTGATTCTGGGTGTGTTCCATGTCATTAAGGTTATGTCACACGTTATGGACTGACAATATCGTTCTTGATTTCGGGCGTTTTAGAACACGAGAACGTGCTCAGTAGGAAATTTATAATATGATACGACCTTTCTTTGAAGAAGATGCCTGGTGCTACTGGGTTGTTTCAGTTGGTGCTCTGCTATCATTTCTCGGTCTTGTTGCTACTTGTATCTGCAGTTGTCGACGAAATGAGAATAAGTGAGTATTTACCAAGGATTTTTGTTATTAATCATGATTTGTTATGATAAATTTCTAGTATATTTCTAGTAATTTAAGTTATTAATATGTAAATATTAATAATTAGGCAAACGTAAATATGATACAAAGTACTATTTTTCTTTGGTATGATATTTATTATAACAAGTTAACACTATACTTTTATTGAGTTGATAATTTATAAATTCATACTTCTCTTTATATAAAAATTAATTATTATAACTATTTCCTTTGAAACAATTTCTAAGTTAATTTATAACTTTGTATTTGTTGTACAATTATAATCATATTATAACAGGAATGAATTTCTGGACCTCGCTGGTACAGTAACACTGAATAATTCTGAAACAGACAATTTCGACAGAATTCTGACATTGGATGTATGCCAGGTTGTTGAGCAGGATATCAACGATGGAAAAAGGTTTCTACCTTAAAAATGAATTGGTTACATAAAATATTTTTTAGTAAATATGAAAAATAAGAGTGTCCAAGCATTGATTATTTCTTGATTATTCTGAATAATTTGCTGTTACTACTATTAACCTTCCAAAACACTGCCATGTCTCTAAATATTTACATATCATACTATGTGCTTGCCCTTGTTCAAGAAGTGATTTTAAATCAGAAGTGAATACAAAATTATTAAAGTTGCTCATTTTATTCAATATTTTACATATTTTTTTTGTATGAATTACGATTTTTTAAATAATTTATGTTATTGATTGCGACGAAACAAAAACAGCTTATCTTTTTTAAATATATGGTCAGAGTTAAAAAATTTAGTTTTTTCCAAAAATTTTGAAAACACTTCAGTCTATTTTGATGAAACTTCATACATGTTTGAAGGATATAAAAAAGCCTCATCTTTTCAGACTATATATTATTTTTATTCAATCAAGGACAGACCCAAGGATAAGTGCATTTTTTACGAAAAATCGATAGAATTAAGGAGCTTCAAAGTATATAGGTTCAAAGAAAAAGAAAAGTTTAGAAACACGAAAAAATTTCGATTTTGCAAATTGCACTGGGGTTTCTGGGACCCAGTGTGTATAGCTAGAATTAAAGAATACATCAGTTGCATAGCTGCTTTTTCTGCTAAACATAACCATTGTAATATAACCGATATTCTGAACTCTTGTAAATAATAAAATACTGATCTCTCTTCTGCTCCTTGTCACATTAGCGATATAAATAATTGTCGATCCTTTGACCAAAAAACTATCGATGTACAAGTCTACAGCATAAAACATCTCATCACCAAGTACGCTCAATTTATCAAATCAGTTACTTTTTTTCCTTTCTCTTCTATTCTTTTCATTGCCTGTAATTTAAAACAACAAACAGAAATAATGTCCACTAAGATTTTATTTACAAAAATTATAACAGAAATCCATATGAACTTTGTAATACTGAAATTTTTATTGTATGTATATACAGGGTGTTCCGTAAAAACCCGAACAACGCTTAAGGCGAGATTCCTAAGATCACTTTGAGACAAAAATTTTAATATCAAAATGTTGAGACTATAATAACTTTTGAATTATAAGCGTTTAAAATTAACGAATCATATCGTCTAAAGTTGGCGCGCTCAGGGGCGGCACAACGCAAAGTATTAAACGCGAAAACTGACTTATCACTTCTTTTGTTAATATCGCATTGTACAATAACATTGTGCGACATTTTCCTTTTTATAATATTTTTCACGTTTACATAATACACAAAACGCAAGCTATCAGATAACAGTTCTTTAAGCAATCTGCTATCAATTTCATATCTTAATTAGCAGAAATAAGTAGCTCTTTATGTAGAGTTATGTACTATTGTTAATATTCAATTAAAATTCATTCAAATATGATTTCGCAACGTTATTGTACTATGCGTTTGTAGAAATATCAATAGATAAAATCTTATATTCACATATGTAATTCTAAAATCGATATTAACAAAAGAAGAAAAATCCCAAGAAGTACAATAAATTATGAAAGAATGTCATTTGAACTCATTTTTGGAACTGTTTATAGCAGACTTTGACTCCATTCTTGTAACGAATATCAAATTTTCCGAGCAAATGGTACTCATTTTAGTTAATAGGAGATAAGATACTGTAACTTCTAATCATTACTTTTTCAAAACTAATTAAACATAACTTCCCTTGTTAATTTCCGGAATATCCGCCTGGGGAAATTAAAATGCTCTAACTTATATATATGTATAAATAGAATATTTTATTTGCACAGGACTACAAGTGCCAACAGAAGTCTTCCAGATATTCCAAAAGATAAGAGCAGAGAACATGAGAACATGGTAGATTCAGAGCCTCAAGATATTTATGATACTACCGAAATTATGGGGGACCATTCAGAATTATATGCTACAGTCCAAGATGCAGGTAACACGAAATTAAAAGTAATGTAAATAATTGAAATTACAAAACATAAAAACATTTTATTATTTTATTTTTATTGTACTAGTCTATTTTCATTAACTTTATTTTTTAGCTCAAGAACAAATGTTTGAAAGGGAAACGCAAGAAGTTATCTTGCAAGGATGTACCTTGCCACAAGATACGTCTCATCAATATACAAGATTTGCATCTCCTGTTTCTGACAATCGTAGGTGAATTATTATTAAATATTTCGGTAATTGTTCGAACGAACAGTGACCGTCACCTAAAACCTTTTGAAGATCACTCAACGTCATGATCTTGACAGCATACGTCAAAGTCAAGATCATCGATGCGGTGTCTGTTACTCCGAATAATTATCAATTTTTCTATCTTTGTTAATTATTTAATAATATTTTAATTTATTTTAGTTGAACATCCTTACGCCCAACTTCAAAATGTTCAGAAGACTGAGGCTAGTCAAATAAATAGGTATTATTTATTTACTACTTCTACGTTTTATATATATTGTTCCGTATACCATTCCGTATACTTTTGTTTTATTTGTTTCAGAAAATATGTAATATTTGTTTCTCATAATTTACAGAAATAATGTTAATCAAATTACGAATACTGAAAAACCATCAACATCAATGGATCAGTCAAATGAAAATCCAATCGCGCCACCGAGAACTCGACGATCTTCATCCCACAATTCACTTCTTAATTCTGAGTTACATTACGATATCCAGGCTGCTAACGCTATTTCTGGTAGTGTTCAAGCTAATCAAGATTTACCCTACATGACACCGCCTCTCTTAATGCTGCTGCCACAATCACTGCATCCCCAACATAATAATCTGCAACAACACTTCAGTGGAGACTCGCAAGATTCGAGTATTTGCATTATTTTTTCTTTCAACTTTTCATTTATTGTATGATGAATAATTTCTAATGAATTACATGTTATTATCTTTCTATAACAGAAGGATATACAAGCATAAGCGTGAGGGAACCATTAGCCAATATAATAGCACAAAGTAAAACAACTTACAGACAAAATCAATCTACTCGACCAATCACTGATCCCCATTATGCTACTGTTTCTGATGATTCTGGTAAATAAGCTTCAGAAGTATGCTATGATAAATACAATATATGATAAACGTTATACAATCTGACATTCCATAGATGAAATGTATGCTGCAATTGACGAACAGGATAAAATATATACTAGTGGCAGCGAAACATATGCACAAATTCAGCCAATGACATCAGAAGTGCAAGTTCAACATGAACAAATAGTATTTTGTCAGCCTCTGCGCACAGAAGAAACACATTCTGCACCTCAACCACCGAGTGTCGATAGTTTACGCCATGTTGCACACGCCCATTCTAGGCAAGGTAATAACTTTTTTTTGTAATAATTACGTACCGTAAGTGCAAATAGTGTTCGTACAGGGAAAATATAGCAAAAGCTTTATTTTTAGAAATCCAGCATCCAGCGAGAAATGACTCATTGAATTGATGTCGAATAAATATCGATACGATGATTTCGATACCAATTTCATGTCGATTTGATGTTTAATTGACGGTCATTTCTAGCTAGAATTAGCAATTTATTCATAAAGAATGAAATAGACTGTATAGTTCTCATAATTATTGTACCAAAAAGATGTGTAATATATATAATTAAATAAAGTACAATATTAAAAATCAGCGAAAATTAAAAATGATATTATTTGGATGCACAAAGGTATTTGTACAGTCGAGAAATTCAGCTTCTAAAATCAGGAAGACATGCAAAGCTTATTTGTTTATGTTAAAACAAAACGTATTCACTACATAAAATTGCTAATTAATATTTATTTTTTACAAATAAGACTTTCAAATAAAAATTTTCTTTGTACGGATACTTTTTGCACTCACTGTAATTTAACAAAATTTTTTTTAGATCCAAAAGCAAAAGTAATTATTTGATATATGCAATTATGTTTCTAAAATATTTTATCTTGTCACAATTTTAAAAAGTTAAGGAGATACTGGCGTGACAGCCTCTGACGAAATAGTTGTTTTACCGATTAAATGTGATTTACGCTCATACAATACAAATACGATTTACGAGACATCGACACATCATTATATACTACTACATCAATATCGCACGCACATACATACACAATTTGTCGCATACTAAAATTTCTTTGCTTAGACTTCTAAATTTAATTCTAACAATTCACATATATTCAAAACAAGTATCTCAAGGCTCAGAATTAAACATTTAAAAAGCAACAAATAGAACAATGAGCCAAGCGCGATGTTAGTACACCATTAAAAATAATATATTGACAATTCAAATATAAAAGTTCATAACCCAAAAGTTTCGGTACACGTTGAACCATCCTCGGTGAGTAAAAACTTACAACAATTAGGAAATAAGGACTCTAATAGGGTCAAACATTGAAATGCTCTTTTTATTGTATTTGAATTAATTTTAGGCCTACAGATTCAGTTGATCAATATCATATGTAACTCGATATTTACAAAATACATTTGTTACTTTATTTTTCTTATTAATCTGTACAGTTCTTTCAGCCTATCTCTGTCATCCTCCGACATTTTTCCTGTCTGTAACGAACCACTCCTGCTACCATCGCGAATCGTTATTGCTTGTAAATACTGTGAAGTAATCGAAAATTGACGAAAGAGTGGCACGCTCCCTCGTGCCTGGCGCCCTTGTGTTTGATGAAAAGTTTTATCTCCGGGGGATCAATCATGTATTTTTTTCCCAAACACAGAAATGTGAAAAGTAAAAATTTTTATGTATGATACACACACACAAATTTTCACGTTTCCGTTGTAGGAAAAACGTTACATAATTGATCCTTGGAATAAATTTTTCTATTGGATATTGGAATAGCTTAGCGTCATCCCTACCGCCTTAAGAAATCAATATTTCTTAAATGAAGCGTTTGCTACCAAGCAAACCAAATTTTTCCACGGGAAAACTTATTTTAAGTTTGGCGGTTTAACCCGGGGACACTCTGAAATATTAACCTAGCTATAATGTAACTGTCGTTTTTCTTATTTTTAGCCTCATCGTCAAGTGCCAATAGCTCCATTATCAATCTCGGATCTCCTAAACCTGAAAAACGTCAAGCAAATTCTCCTTTACCACCGCCACCCGAAGCAACCGCAGAGGCGTACGCATCTATTGATAAAAAAAATAAAAATGACGATAAATCGAAGTCTTCATTGTCAGCGGGTAAATCACTCGAGGATATGTACGCGAAGGTGATGAAGAAGAAAAAGGAGATAGAGGAGCAACAAAATGATGCTCATCCAAGCTTTAACAATGTTTTACATTCTGAAACAAATGCTTGTAGAAAATTAAGTCTTATAGAAATCAGCCGAGCGTCATGGTGCAGCCACGAATCTGTGGAAATACAGAAAAAGGAATCCGATTTTGTTCACTGTTCCACCAATAGCAGTTCTACTACAAGCAATTTTTACGCAGAAAGTAACAAGGGCACTCCTTTAAAAGTACCTAAAGATGATGCGGATGTGATCTCGTTACATTTAGAATCTGATCATGAATATGAAGCCGTTAATTCTAACAGTCAAAGAAACTCTGTTGCAAGAATCGTTATGAATTCATTTAATTCAAACTATGATATATTACGTCAGCAGTCTTCGCAAGAAAATGAAAATAATTCGATATCTATGAAAAATAATACGGATATATATTCGACACCGTTTAAGCGCAGACAAGTAAGTAACGCTAGCAGCGACGATCCCGGTTATGAGAAGGTGCGATTGCAACAGCGAGATCACGAAATAGATTCGGAGCCAAATTACGAAAGCATGCCACATGATACGAACGAGCCGAACTATGCATCCGTTTGTCGGCCTGGTGACAGTGATACGGACCCAAATTACGAGTCTGTGAACCACACCGATCCGAATTATGAAAGTGTGAAATACATGAGTGTCGGGCAGAGTGAAGAACCACCGTATGAGCAAGTGAATAATTTGTTGTTAGATGCAAATGCGGACGGTTATGAGAAAGTAAAAAATAAGAAGAAAGCGGACAGCAATTACGAAAAAATAATACTACATAATTCTTTAGAAAGAATTAGCAACGGAGGGGATACTGACGACGAACAATTCGTTCAAGTGTAATGTTCTTATTTTGCGTTACTATGAGTCCTAATGATCGAACTGTGTGTTCAGTGTTCTTTGTAATCTCAAGCTCATTCAAAATTGAGTGAACAAGATTTGACTTTATATTTTGCAACAAGCGATTTACAAACAATGTATCAAATGGCATTGCTATAATAATGAGAATAAGACTGATGAAGACAGACAGTAAAAGTAAGCTTTTGAATAAAGAGACGATAGCACTTAATTTCTAAATTGTTATAAATGGATGTATTTTTAGGATAATATATATAAGAGTATTCGAAAAGTTACCAATAAACGAGTCAAAATGTGTAATTAATTCTATACTCTGTTCAACGAGAGAATGACTTCGGTCTACGCATAGGAGGTATAACGGGCAAAGTAGGAATATAGCCATTATCGTATATGTACATATGGTACTTCCGGACTCGGGCTTATAAAATTGACCGGATGAAATAATCAGAGTTGGGAAGCGTTACTTGTAACACTATTACTTTTTTCGTTACTTTTCGGTAACGATCGTTACTTTTTTCTGTCTTATCGGTAACGGTAACGTTGTTACATTTTTGCAGTGACGATAACGATTCAATCGCTACTTTTATCGTTACTTTAATTTTTATTGGATGGATCGGATTGGATCAAATTTCGATATTGCTGGTGCTGAAAGATGTTTCGCTTTTGTGTCCCTAGAAGTGTATTTCTAGTTACCAAAGTTGTGTCATTGTTATAACAAATGAGCGAAATACTTAACATTTTTTTTAATGCTTGTGTAAATATACAAATATATATTTACAATTTAACATTGTATTATATACATATAATAAAAGGTTATTATTTGCAATAAATATAATTATAAAATATTTACTTTCTCATTTCTATATTTCTTAAAAAATATTTTATATTTTATATCTTAGACTACATTCCGGTAGTTACTATCAGTGTTGAAAATCTGTAATTCACATTACATATATACTACGGAATTTTAGTACTGATAGTGAATCTTGAAATAAATTCTTAATAATGACATTAAAGTTTAAAAACAATATTTAATTTAAATTCGGTAATTATTGAATTTAGCTCCCGACGATTATTTCTGCCAGATTCGGTCGTTTTTGTGCAAAAACGCATCGAATGAGCCTAATTTTATCAACATTGTATATGAGCGAGCTAAACTCAATAATTTTCCGAAAAATAACGAAAAAGTAACGATTTGTTACTTTTCCAAGTAACGGTAACGGTAACGCGTTATTTTTTAAAATGAATAACTAGTAACAGTAACGAGTTATTTTTAACAAAAAGTAATTGTTGTAACAGTAACTTGTTATTTTTTTTAAGGTAACTTTCCAACTCTGGAAATAATCTTAATATTTTAATGTGATGTGTGTTAAATCGAAATCGTTCACTGAAAATACATAACGGTTGTCACAATCGAGAATAGTTGCGGCAAAGAAACTTTTGTCCGATGTGTCATGTAAACTAATTGTAAAATAATTTTTGATGTTTTTTTGAGGTCTGACTATGAGGTTACATTAAAAATTTTACGGCGAGAGAACTCAGCTTTAAACTTTAAAATTTCGAGTTACGAACGAATTATTAATTGTCATTCATCATTGTTTACTCGTTTATTTTTCATCAAAGGAGATATTAGCCGATTAGGTGATGACACTTCGATGTCTAATTCTTCTTCGATCGTATTGTGTAAAAATCTATGAATTGGCAGGAAAACTAACACAATGAATTGCTCAACAATATTATTTTTAGAATAAGTAACCGTAACGCAATAAATGAACTCCAAGTAATTTAATGTTCTGATGACATCCGCTGATACAAGGTATTAGCAAGTCGCGGTATAATACTATGAAGAGGAAGCGGAGACCTGCGTTAAACGGAAAAGTTTTCATCCGATCCGAAGTCATTCTCTCCTTGAACAGAGTATAATATAAAACTGTAAAACTATTACATTTGCAATAATATTTATTATCTATACGAATTAAAGCTTCATTATTATCGTCTGTCTTTAGTAAACAAATTCGATCACATTTACTGTAAGCTAAAATGATGTAAAATGATGTTTTTAAAATATTCAATACATTCATTAAATGTTTATTTAAAAAATGCGGTTAAAATAATTTATGAATGTAAGTATAGTTATAATTTGACAATTGTAAATTATAAACATTTTTGTATTTATTTTTATCAATTCACTGAAAGAAACAAATCAATTCTTAAATATAGAGAAATATTCGTAGTTCGGTATGTGTAATACGCGCGCGCGCGCAAAACCTATTACATGCTAATTATTCTATACTTGGTAATTTTAATGCTATATTACTGAGTTCAAGTGAAAAAAAATCTAAGACAAAATTAATATCGAGGCTATTTTTATAAGGATCACCATAGGTAATTTTTCATGACTATCAAAGAGGCTGCGGGAGCTCAATGATAATAGAAGAACAGTTACCTTATTAACTGTTTTGGCTGTTCCAAAGAGATAAATTAATGAGGATTTTACCTTAATCACTATTTTATCATTAGAAATCTTATAGATTTGTACATTTTTAATGATAAAACAATGATTAAATAAGATAAAATTCTCATTATTTATATCTTTGTAACAGGTGAAATAGTTGATAATGTAAATGGGCTCTTAAATTGCGACCAAGCTTCCTCCGAGCCCCTTTGATGGCCATGCTAGCTTTTATAAGAATGTCGATTTTTAATAATATCTTGTTAATGTCTTCGTATATGTGCAATAATAGTATAACAGTAATATTTAGGGATGCACCGGATATCCGGAAAATATCCGCTATTCGGTACTTTTTTTTACTATCCGGTTGGAATATCTTTACTATCCGAATATCATTGGTATCTAACAATATATTTCGGCTGAAATTATTTCAATTTCTTCCTGTATCAATAAAAATCTCTCCCTCTCTGTCCTTTCGCTGCCTCATGTTTCATCGCGTCACTCACAATTTTTAAGCGGGACTGATGTAACTGGTGTGTGTGCGTGTGTATGATTGTAATTATTGCTTCACCACTCATTGCATCTTTGTCTTAGTCCTGATTTCCTGTTGCTGATAGGTTTTGTAACAGCAATTTTGCTGATGCCTAATCATTTGCAAGCTACTATAGTCTATTGTATTATATTTTATGTCTATTACTCTGTTAATATGTAGTCTTTTCATAAAGCTTTGCAATAAAGTAAATTAAATTGAATTTTATATAGAAAATTTGTGTCATTGAATCGCAGAATTCTATTCTTTTCAGCTGAGCTTGCAAAGTTCATGATTTTGCACAGTTACGGCGGTTTATGTCGATAATAAAATTTAGGGATTCACCAGATATCCGAAAAGTATCCGGTATTATCCGGCACTTTTTTACTATCTTACCAAATAGTCGGATATCATTAGTATCCGGAAATATATCTGGTTGAAATTTTATATCATTAATTCTACAATGTGCTCTTTGTTTCCTGTTTTTTGCTGTTTGTATCTTGCCTTCTTGATCAAAAAGGGTATTCGGAATAGCGCTGATTGGTTGCTTCAATGGCGCATTCTCTATTCCGCAATCTTTCCGTACCGTGTGATTTCACCCTAGGGCACGTTCACACCTTGACGGAAAAACAAAAAGTGGAAAAGCAGTGGCCAATCAGAACTCGTGCTGGTAGTAAGTAATACAAAAAGCCGAAATTGTCGAATACCAGCGTAAGTTCTGATTGGTTGCTGCTTTTCCGCTTTCTGCTTTTCCGTAAAGGTATGAACGCGCCCTTATAGTTCACGTTATGTGTACTATAGATTTTTAACAGTAGTAGTGAATTTTAGAACACAGCTAGTGTATATATTACAAACATTGCATTGTATGTATACATTGAACCTTCGCCAAAGATATATTTCTCAATTTTTTAGGAAATATACATATACCATTACTTCTGTGATGCCGTTATAAATTCCAAGTACGATGTATTTCTATTCTAATTTTCCTCCCGTTCGCGCTGAGTGAGCAAGGTTCCGTATTGGTGCTGCCATTGGCTGCGTTCAACGGACTCAACACTGCTATTGACGTATTCTTCTAGATCTAAAATTCTGATTGGATGATCTAAAAGGATACACCAATAACGGCGAGCGCTCACTCAACTGTTGAGTCTGCTGAATGTGCCCATTGGCTGCGTTCAGCAGAACATTTGTTTTGCAACTGTCGGAAGTTTCCTTCGCGCTGATTGGATCATATTTTTAGATCTAGAAGAATGGTCCTATCTCAGCAAACAATCATAAAACGGTTGCAAAACTGTTGAGTCTGCTGAACGCAGCCGTTGTAAAAGCAACAAGTCACGTGCATCTATTGCTGGATTCACACTGTATCCGATTTTCGTCGTACGACGCTTTGCAACCAATCAGAAAACAGGATT